AGAGCCGTGTATGGCGCCTCTCTATATATCAAATAATACTTCCATCGCATGATATTGCCAGCATCCTTCGTACCAAAAAATGCTTGCCTTCACGAAAGTTTTTTTCTCCAATAACAGCCCTGGAACCGAATCACTTATCCTATCATACCTCCAAACATTTCTATACAGCAAACATTTATTAAAATAACTCTGACAAGGCATGTTCATGAATAGTTATGGAAAGGAAACATTGATGGGGAGATATTGTTGATACCAACACCTTAGGAACAAGGAAGGGGTGAAGACTAGTATCCCTATAAGATCCCATGAACGTTAACAATATGGACGCCGTCATAAATTTGCGCTCTGACCGGTTTCACCCTTTCTTACTTTACTGGCCCAAAGCATCTAACTGCTCGATACCCCAGATTTCTTGGCCACTTGCAGGCGAGGTTTAAAAAACAATACCCAAAAAGCAACCTGTTACAAATAGTGATTTCTTCATAGAGGGACTTTGGAAGAGGTACTCTTACAAGCGTTCAGCATATTTGTTGCTAGTACCGAGCATAAGCGGATGCGATCCAAACAACCAGCAATAGCTAGTGCTCCATATGCCACCTAATGTATTGCCACAATTGATTATCAGTTTTAACTAAAAATTACAATAATTGTGTAGGAACTCAACCTAAGCAAAGAAGAAAGATCTAGAGCACAGAGAGATAGGCACTAATCTGATAAAATCTTGGAACCCTCATTTACGGAAATCATGGTATCCTGCACAAAGCCAAAAGACTATAACTGGGATTTTTCGAACACATCTGTCACCAAGTACACTTCATATCACCAGGATGGAGAGGGCGTGGCTTCATAACCTCGTCTGAACGTGGGAGCAGCAGCTTCTGATAGCATGCTTTCGTTGTGGGGATAGAGTAATTGTGATACTCCATGTGTCGATGTCCATGAAGCCCTTTGCACTGGGGTGTTCTTGTCAAATTCATTTTTGAAGCAGTATCCGACGGTTTAAACCACTTATGGCTTACGTTTCGCTAGTTCGTCCTCGTCAAGATCCTGGTAAGGACAACTCGGATTTCAGCTAATTACAACCTCATAAAGCAGTTCAACATTAGAAAATAGTTCGTAGAATCAGCGCATCTAGGAAGGATATCGCAAATCGGAACATCAACGATCTAAGCTTATTAAGGTGAGTTCTTTGTTTCGGATCTGCCGATACCCTCCTAGTGCGCTGATCTACGAGACTAATTCTTAATCTGAGATGATTTATGCAGATGAAATACTGAATCACTATCCAGGGAACGAATTGTACGAAGGCGATAGCCGAAACGTAAAGCCCAATAAAGTGATTTAAATCTTGGTTGTGCGCTTCCAAGAAAATCATGAGACTATTAGAGGTGGTTTCAGCCACCCCAAACAGCATGGAACATTGAAGCTCACGCAAGGCAAAGTCACGAAAAAAGCAGATACGCCAAATTCAAAGAAGGAAGTACTGGCCACGCCCTCCTCCTCCCCTTGATATAAGTGTATATTATCTGAAACCCGTAGAATTGACAAGATTACCTTTCATTAATACGTTACATCACAGGAAGAATCACCACTAATGAAATAAGATGAACCATGGAAGTAGGATGCTAATTTGGTATCGCCATAGGAAAGCAAAAGCAACAATGAAAACACAAGCAAACAAAAGTCATTACTAACTCCTAATGCCGGATGTGCCAGACTTAGGAGCCCTCTCCTCAAATACAGCCCTTTACTTCCAGAAGTGACGAGGAAACAGTTCAGCTTAACTTCCGTTCAACAATTCCTGCTGCAATCGTTTGACCACCGGCACGGACTGTGATTCGACCGAGTGCCTTGCAATTTGTGTACGTATCGATTGCTACTTCACGTTCTGTTTCGATTTCCACCAAGCCACTCATTTGCTTTGCTAAGCATCTGAAAATGGTTTACTTCCTGCTTACCTAAATTTCCAAAACACTGATGTAGCACAGGTACGCAGCCCAGTTAGGCAGCGCTCAGACTTCGGGACGACGCGTCGATAGCAGACTGTGTGGAGGTAGCGCCTACCATGCTGTTATGTTCATTCTCTCAAACACAAGCAGCCGGCGCCGATCGATTACGACTACGACTGCGTTCCCACAGCAATGGAGCGACATTGCAAAAAGAGCGCTTCGACGCGCATTTCAGCGCGACAAGGCGCGTCATCGCGAAGTCTGAACGCGGCCTTACTTGTTGAGGGACAGACGACTCAGTGATAATATAATATAGATTTTTTTGTTGTAAACGTATTACATTATTGTTACTGTACCTCATTAGTGCACAAGCTGACACGTCACCATCTCACTCTTGACAATCAGCGGACCTGTACTACACCTGTGCCGCCATAATAAGAAACCGGTAATGGCTAGGATCCTTAGGTGAGCATCAGAAAAAAGTACCTTGGCCGCTCCTTGATTACTTCACCATTTGTCTTGTTGATTGATGAGATTAGTTTGACCACTGTGCATGGCTCACAAAGTGAATGGCAGTATAATTCGCCTTTTGTCCCCTTCATGATTGGCACGACGATGTCGAAGACGACGATACGTGCAACAAAACGGTTGCACGGCATGAGAGCATCCTATAAGTGATCAGCATAACTATTTGTTGCATTTGAATAAATTTTACGACGAGAGAACTGAGTAGGGGAACCGATGAATCGAAAGAAGAAGAAAGAATGCGCGCCAAAAGAGTGGACAGAGAGCCAGTCGCTAGCGATAAGACAGTTTGAGAGAACGCGCGTGCCCCCAAATGAACAATTTTCCCTTCACCCATCGCCAAGTATAAACTGAGCCTAGAATATGGAAAAAACTTCGGGCGTCGACCAGTCCCACTCCTGGAATGAGCTATCCATTCTATTTTCATTAGAAAGAGTATTTTACATGCGATCTGGGTTATATAATGATTTGTGGTGTACATGCCCTTGACTCTCATCTTTTCGGGCAGATCTGGTACT